ATGGACGTTCGTAGACAAGCATAGAAATGTATTACACAAAGGTCTATCGACTTCTTAGTCGCGCTTTTGGACCGCCGAGAGCGCCGACCAGTACGACGCAAAGTTCCAGCTCCAGCCAAAGTTGCCGCCGTACTCTTGGAGGAGGTACTTGGGCTGTACAAAGAGGCGCGCATCGGCGTTGTTGCCAGAGAACGTTAGCTTCTTGGCGTCAATGGCTTCTGGCGTCATCTCGTCGGCGACCGGACCGGCCGACGCCATGTTGGACGTCTTGACGAGCTTGAGCTTGGCCATCGTGACGCTGTCGATGAACGGCGAGAGGAGCTTGAGGACGACCGAAAAGTACCACGACGCGTTGACCATGAGGCTCACACCGAGGCGCTAGCATGTGTTTGTACGTCCATGCTCATGTATCCCTCAAAATACCTCGGGGTAATGGCTCGACATGGTGTGGAGGAACTCGCGGGCGACCGAGAACGGCACCGAGTTGTGGCGGTTGATGTGCTATTACATTCCAGGTAGCATGAGCGATAGGCAGCTACGCAAACCTCGTAGTCGATGACAATGACGACCGACTCGCGGCCTTGGGGCATGAGCGAAATCGCCTTCTCCAGGTTGTAGCACGTGAAGCGGAGCTGGCGGTCGTGCGTCTTGGTGTTCTCCATGTGCGGGCGCATGTACCACACCGGGCGGCCGTCGCGCGCAAAGCCGCTAAGGAAGCTCTTGCCCGTCTCGGCCTCGGGCGCGACCTCGTCGGCCGTGATCTTGTCAGGTGCGTACTCAAAGCGCCACTTGAGCGTGATGGCAAGGCGCTCGATGGCCTGGTCGAGGTTGAACTTGGTGGCCTAGACGCAGCTAATTGAGCCTCTCGCAGCTACCTCGAGCATCATCGTAACGTTACCTTGAGGTAGCGCACGAGGCAGCGGGTGTCACACCACGCGAGGAGCTCGTCGTTGCGCGCCGCGTCCGTCGTGTTGCCCGTGCTCTTGGCCACGAAGGCGAGGTCGATCTTGGCCTGGAGCTTGGCGAGCACCTGCGCCTGGTCGGCCGAGACGTCGTGGACGGGCCAGTTGGCGGGCGCCGGCGCAAAGCTGTCGCCGGGCAGAAGCGTCAAGACCGGAACGTTCATGGTGGAAATCTCGAAATGCCATTGCGGTCGCCACCGCGTATCCGGAGGATTGCCAGCTAATCCGATATGATTGGCTATATATCCGGATGAGAGAGTATAAAAACTGGTTGATGGCGCGCGATCGACTTCATAAACCACAATGCTGCGACAGGGAGATGGGTGCAGCATCCTGCGCCCTTGCTCCTTTGGCTCCAAGCGCTTGCTTCTGGTAGGTTTCAAATTCATTTCCAGACTGGTTTCTAGAGTGATACCAAACCAGTTTCTGCCGGTATGTAGCGAACGACTCCAGCCACATTGCAGGAACCCATTGGACCATTTAGAGATGCGTTTTGGCCAATCCGGGCAATGTATGCGAGCGCCAATCACTGTCGCGGGTTGTTAAACTTTTGGCCAATCTGGGATTGGCACGCACAGCGTTAATTTCAGCCAATGCACGGTGCGAAAGATACGGTTCTGGCCAATCACATGGCGACATTCATGCCCATCAAATCGCCCCGTACCAGCTGCCACCGGCGCTTCGACGGCCATGGTCGCTCACGATGGCCGCTCGGGCGAAGCTCTCGGGCGATAGATCGCTACATGAGTCGAGTGTACGAGGACGAGACTATGCCGTGTGATGCAGCAGTGGTGAACCAAGCGAATGGATGGCCACTGAGCTGCCATCCATTTGACTGCTTCACCGAGTAGCCGCGGCAAGCGGCCGTGCCGACCGCGCACAGCGACCAGTTCCTGGCGTAGTAGCTGTGCCAGCTTTCAAGGGTCTTGTTCGGAACCAGTGGCCCCAAGCAGCGTGGTTTGTCGGATGCAAAGATATGGGCCTGATCCTCCCACAGCCAACCACATCAACGACCACCTTCAGTAGCCGCAGTACAGGGTCGAGTCGCCAGTACAATGTAAAAAGAGCTCGGCTTTTGCGTGCAGGCCCCAGCGCACGTTCAAGCACAAGGGAGCAAATGCGATGCTGATGCTGCTCGGCACGGCCTGGATGACTCAGCCACTCGAAATAGTGTTGGATTCCATCGTGTGGGTGCATTCCGCATCGTCTGTGTTGTAGCTCTTGTGGGACACCATCGATGTGCAGTACCTGCAACAACAAGGGGACATTCCTCTTGGCAGCAGAAGGCTATCGGAGCCATCGCTTTGTCGTTGCCGAGATCCCAGCGCTTGACGCGTAACTATAACCCTATTTGCAATAACACTATTCCAAGTCCTATCACACCGCCTCCTGCTCTGGCCAGAACGAGCAACTGCCCCCAATTGGTGTGTTAGATACTCATCCGTAATCCACATCCCGTGTCATTGGCAAGCGACCACTTCCGCTTTTGCCAGCATGCTGCCAACCGTCACGACGCGCCTTGTGCCCCGCTCGGCGCCGCCCGCCGCCGCCCACCGACGCCCGCTCCTCGGCGCCATGGCCGCGGCCGCGCTCTTCGCCGGCAGCTACGTGACGACCGAGGCCATCTTCCCGGCCTGGCTCCACGGTGACACGGGCCCGATCCCGTACGTCGTGCCCGCGGCCTGTGCCTTCGCCAACGGCGACCTCATTGCGCTGCAAGCCGACTCTGGCCAGTACGTTGCTCTCGACAACACGACCGACGTAGCGGTCGTCGCGCCGGCGGTCGCCCCGTCCGCGACCTGGAAGGTCTACAACACTGGTCGCCTCGGCACGCTCGCGCTGCAGGCTGACAGCGGCAAGTTCCTCGCGCGCTGCCGCGACACGCCGGCGGCCATTGTCGACGCCAACCACTGGTCCGACGGCGCGTACGCCCAGTGGACGTGCGTCGTCGCTGACGACGGCCGCATCGCGCTCCAAGCCGACACGGGCAAGTTCCTCATCCGCGACCGCAGCGCGACGCTCGTGCACGCCGAGAGCTGGGAAGACGCCAAAGCGCAGTGGGCGGTCGACCGCCTCCCCGTCTCGCCCGCCTGCACGTTTACGAACGGCGACGTCATCGGCTTGAAGAGCGATCTTGGTACGTTCATGGGTCGCTGCGACGACTGCCTTTCCATCCCGCGCGCAATCTTTGCCAATGCTCCCACCATGACACCAGATGCCACGTGGACGGTCTTCAACACGGCCAACGGCAAGCTCGTCTTCCGCGGCAACGACGGCAACTACCTCAACCGCGAGTACAAGCTCGTTCCGGGCGCGACGGTCGTCGACCAAGCGTTCAGCCGCGTCACGCAGGCCAAGCCGTGGGCCGAGTTTACCTGCGTCGACCTCGGCAACGGCGCGATTGGCCTCGAAGCCGACAACGGCAAGTATCTGGGCCGCTGCAGCGACTGCTTTCCTGGCGCCAAGCACTCGGAGAGCGTCGCGATGGACACCATCGACGCAAGCAGCGCGTCGGCGGCCCACTGGACGGTCGTGCGCCCCGCCTGAGGCACGAAGGCAACGGAGGAGGATGATCATGCCTGTGTATATAACTTAATCCAACGCAAAGTACGCTTGGCCTAGTCAGTTTGAAAACGCAAACACACCAGAGACGACATACCTTCGGTGAAGGCCGTGCGGAGCTTGGCGGCCAAGACGTCGCGCGACGAGTACCGAGGGAGCTTGAGGTACTTTTGGCACGTGTTGCACGACGGCAGCGACGCGTCTACGTCACCGCCAATCGAAATGGATTCGTGAGCGTCGAGGTACCTGTAGCCGACGAGACCGGCACGACGGTGAGGCCCAGCGCCGACCAGCCCGCCAGCGGCAGGCACGGACTGCCAGTGACAAAGAGAAGAAACTGGCCGCGCTCAAACGCAGAGAGCGTCACCAGAACCTCCACGAGCCACTGGATCTGGTCCGTCTCCCACGCGTACCCGGCGCTGCAGCAGAGACCGCTAGCCACCACAAATAAGAACGTAGCCCGTTGCGGGTAGGGTACCGCTGCAGCTCGTCACGTGTCCACGGCAGATCGCAATGCAGAAGCATCTATGCACGCACTTGCAGCCGACGATCGAATGGAATCAAAGTCGCACAAACCTGCCACTCGGCGGGCGTAAAGTACTGCCACGTGTGCACCGGCATGCACGTGGCAAAGCCACGGCGCAGCGCGGCCACCGGACCCGCAATGCTGACGCGCAAGACGTGGTCTTTGACGAGCGTCACGTATTCGTCGCGGTTGGCACACGTGACGGGTCGGTCGCAGCCCTGATCGCACAGCGGGTACTTGTCGACGCCCGGGAGGTTGAAGTAGAGCCCAAGCGACGCCATGTCCTACACAAACGCCGTCAACTAGGACTGACCAGGAAGCGAGCAGGTACCTCGAAGGTCGAGAGACGCTGCATCGAGTGATACAGCGACGCGTCCACCTCCAGCATGTCGTCCCAGACAAGCGCTTTGCCTTGAAGCAGCTTGAGAAAGCTCGGCGAGACGCGCAAGTCGAGCGAGTAGCCATCCTACGTCCTGTGCATCAGCAACTCGAATGCCACACGTCGGCCTCCATACAAGAAAAGCACGGCCCAGCGCGCGGCCCAAGGTCTCAAAAGCTTGCAACGCGTCGCTGCTACCCTCGAGCGCAGGATGGTGGGGTGCCGGAAAGAGCGGCGCGTCGAGATCGCGCCAGAGACGCAGCGTCGGCGCAGTGAACGCCCGAGCCAGCAGTCTACATCGGTACAGATGGTCATAAAAGGTCCCACGAACGGATGCGTACGTATAAAACTCGGTCGTGGGGCCAACGCCATGGCCGGCTTCGCCGTCAAAGCTCACGTACAGCACACTGGACGGCGGCACGGTCGCCCACGTCTTGTCGCTCGCCAGTCCGTCGCGCATCACCGTGATGGACGTGCGTCCGCTGATTTCCTCACTACGCGCCATTGAGACGGATCAAAGGCGGGGACCTACCGCGTCTTGCGCTCGGCTTTCGAACCAAGAAAGAAGCTGCTGCGGAGCGCAAGGGGCACGGCGGTCGGCTGCACGTGGAGGATCGCAGCGACGGCCTCGGGCACGACGCGCGACAGCTGGCGCCACTCTTCCTGCGCCATCGTCCCAAACGTCTGCGTCAAACGTGGCAGCACTGCCAGCGCATCGAGTGCGCGCAGCCACGCTGCTGGTGCTGTCGGCGGCACCTCCGTCTCGACAACATCCAATGCAACCATGGTTGCGTAGAGATCGCTCGGTGAGGCCGTGAGGGCGGCGACAAGGACAGAGTCAGACGGTGCGCAGATACGACCGCCCGCGAGGAGGTAGCCCAGCGCTTCGGAGCTGTCGACGGGCGGCAGCAAAGCGCCCGTCAGCGTCACATCCGCAAGAAACGCGTCATTGTCCTTTTTGGCCGACGGCAGTTGCTTGACGGCCAAGAGGACGTGCTGCACCGACAGAAGCGGGTGCGCACTGACGTCGACAACGCCATCGGGTCGACGAAGACGGAGGCGCAGCAGTGTCTCGTGCCAGTGGCCGTCTACTGGTGCAAACGTAAACTCGGAGGCAAACTGCTGGATGTCGACGGCACGCGGTAGCCACGGCGCGGTCTTGGACCGCGGCAGAAGCCAACTAAACAAGCCGCTCGCTGTCATCTCGTACAGCGTCGGTGGCTCCGTGACGCACGCATCGTCGATCGCGGCATACAGCGTGTCGTGGTAGTGCACGTCGTTGTCTCTCGAGAGCTGCGCGACGAGTGCAAAGAGCGGGTGCGACAGCTCGCCCGCCATAAGACCATGGCGCACCAGCAGATGCGGCTCTTTGAGGTTTGCCTGGAGCTGCGCGATCTGGTCGGCGACCCAGTCGTCGTGGCGGCCCGTGACGCGAAGGATGCCAAGCACGAGACACACGCGGTGCCAGCCGGGACCATCGGCAGGATCAAGCAGCTGCATGTACAGCGGCAGTCCGAGCAAGAGCGCCATCTCTTGGGCCTCGTACTCCAAAAAGAACCCAATCGGTTCGGCAAACAGTGGCGCGATCCGGGGCGCGAGCGTACCCACACGCGCATCGTCGTTGGACAACGTCGGTGTCATGTGGCCCGCCAGCACTTGGTCGTAGCGGAGCTTGCGGATGAGCCATTCTTGCTGCTGCATCTCAAAGTGCGTGGGGACCCGGGGCGCGCCGCAGACACCGCAGAACGTGTACGCCATGGGCTGCAGCATCGTGCACTCGCTGCACGACCACTCTGGCTCGTACGGCGCCCGCGGTACGACGCTCGTGTCGCGCAAGGCGGCCACCTTGGTGAGCACGGCGATCGCCGCTGCCTTCATGTCGTAGTACGCGAGCGTTGGTGCGTTATTGCTCGCAGGGGCAAAGCAGTACGCGGTGAAGATCTCGCACCACGCCGAGAGCATGCTGTCGGAGAAGACGGGCACAAGGTACTCGAGGTACCCAAGGATCGACCGCTGCTGCGCGTGCGACCAGCGCGGGAAGGCGTCACGCCAGAACGAGAGCACGGCCGTGTCGTGCGCGAACGCGGCGAGGTAGCTGTGGTCGGTGACGAAGACGAGCATGAGCGCATCGGTCGTCCACTGCAACGCGAGGCCAGCCAGTGTCGGGTCCGGATCGTTCGCGTACTCGATGACAATGGTATCAGCCATGGCGAGGAGCGCTGTTGCATGCTCGGGCGACGCGTCGACGTTGGCCGCGCGGACGGCGAGCTCCAAGACGCGCTTCTTGGTCGCGAGATGGGAGCCATGGAGCGTCGAGAGGAAGAGGTACGCCGCACCGGACAGGAGAACCCAGGACGGTCGATCACGGGCCAGCGCGCGCGACCAACGCAGCGCCTGCTCGGTCGTGTCGGTGTCGTGGAGGCTCATGGCCGCGCAGAGGACGGTCTCGACGACGTGCACGTTCAAGGACGGGTCCATCGCAAAGGCCGGATCCGTGTCGAAGAGCGCGTTCATGGCGCGGAGCACGAGGAGCATTGTTGTCGGGCAATAGTACGCATGCACGAGCACGTTGGTCAAGGTCGCCACCTCGATCAGCGGCGACGTCGGAAGCGCCTCGTCGTCGCCATTGCCATCATCATCGTCCGCATTCCACCGACGGTCCTGCGCTTCTTCGCCCTCTTCTTCTTGGTGCAGATGGAGCGCCTCAATGAGCTCGAAGAGGAAGAGCATCTGCGTCTCCGGGTCGCTCCCGACGCCGACGAGCCCATCATACTGGCCCATGATGCGACTCGACCAAAGTATCGAAAATGTCAACCTGGGCAAAATCCATCCGAGAAACGCCAATCCACCAATCCTGGCGCCGCAAGCAGCTGCTTTTCAGCCAATCAACGGCGCGGTATCAAGTGTCAATGGCACACCAGTCATGGCTGCCGCCAGGTGGAGCAGCAAGGACCACCGCTACGCGTACGAGGCTACCTCTTCTGTCCTGCGCCGTCATCCACGCAGCCTACTCTCTCTAGCATCATTGCCAAGCATACGCATGGTTCGGTCACTGTGAGCGATGGTCGCATGTTGAAGACGAGGTGGAGAGGCCACTTCAAGCTACTGCCACCTACATGTCCTTCTTCTCGGACGTCTTGGAGAAGCGGACGACGATAAAGAGGATCGTGCCGAGAAGCAGCACCGGCACCAGCAGCGGGCTGGTCACGAGCGACGACGCTGGCGGCACCGCCACCTGGAGCTTCACCGGCTGCTCGGCGCCCTTGCGCAGCCCGCGCTTGCCAATGTCCGGCGCGTCTTCGTACACAAAGCCCTTTTCGTGGTTGATGCACGGCCGCACCGGCGCATTCTTGTCGTCTTCGTCGTTGTTGTTGACGGCGGCGGCGGCGAGGGCCGGGCGCACGGTGGTCGTCGTCGGTGGCACGGTCGTCAACACGTCGGCGGGGAGCGGTGGGCACGCGCGGGGCCGTTTCTACGGCGCCGATCGAGCCATGTAGCGTGCGTTGCATTTGCTTACGTTGCGGGGACCCTTGTACGCGTTGCAGATACCGAGCGTGAGCATGTCGTAGCTGACGCCTTCGGTCGGCGAGCCCAAGATGGTGCCGTCGACCGTAGTCTACGACTTTGCATGAGCGACGAGGACGAGGAAGAGGCGTCGTACGTGGGGCAGCCACGGCGTATCGACCGTGTTGGTCGTCTCGATAAACTAGACCACCAGGTGGTGCAGTCACCAGGACGCAGACAGGGCGGGTACCTTTTCGAGCAACTTCGCGCTGTCTTTTTGGTAGCAGGCCTTCATTTGCGCGAGCGCGGGGCCGCGGAAGCACATGCCTACGATCTTATCCCAGGCGCCGCGCGGCTTGTTCTCGTCTTCCATGCACTAGCATGCACACTATTGTCATTGGCACCAGCTGGACAGTGCGTACGGCCAAGTGCTTGGCTTGCTCCGCGACCACCGGGTACAAATGAATCGCGCAGCTCATGTAGCGGTGGCCGACGCACTCGGAGGGGCCGCCCGTGCAGCTAAATGCGCCACTCGTGCCCGTGGTCGAGCCCGACGGGTACGGCCTAATCCCAGGTTTGTCAAGTCTCTGCGTATGATGACGAGCGTTGCTTACATGAAAGTGAGAATCTCGGTAAACCTACAACGTAGAGAGAGTTAGGACATGAACCCAGCACGAAGCGCGTCGTACTCGGGGTCTTGGAGCACGCGCAAGAGCGGATCGTTCAAGTACCACTTGCAGGCAGGGCTAAAGCACCGCGTCGTCGACGCAAACACTCGAGTCGGAAACGTACCAGAACGCGCGCCAGATGACTTGGAGTTGAATCTTGGCGGCTGCTGGCAGTGTCGTTGGCAGTGCCGTCGTCGTGGGCGGTTGCGTCGTCAGCGGACTCGCGGTTGCGGCGGCGACAGGCACAACGACGGTCGTCGCAGCGACAGTTGGCGTCGGGCGACCGAGGAGCCCGTAACACTCAACCGGGAGGTACTAGATGGGTTTGAAGAGGTACGACATGCACGCTGTCCTACCTTGTCAGGACCGTTGTATGCGCTGCAGACGGCAAGCTTGAGGTCCTTGAGCATGACGCCCTTGGTCACATCGCCGACAACGCCGCCCTTGACGATCGTCTACGCAGAGTATTTGTACGGAGCGCAGGTGCACTGACAAGACATACGTAGGGCATCCAGCCGAGGTCCACAGCTTGGGCTTCCTTGGTGAGCTAGAACGACCCAGATCAAGATGTTGGTGTGGCGTGAAGTTGTCGCTACCTGGCGCAGGAGACGCGTGCTGTCTTCGGCCTTGCACTTGCGCAACGCAGCGATTGCGACCGGGTCAGGGTAGCAGAACTCGAGGCGCGACTGCCACGTGTCGCTGCCGTCGCGCGCTTCCATGCACTAGGGATGCCATCAGACGACGCATCCGATCGGACGGTGATGCGCCTACCGCCATGTGCTTCATGTACGTCTCGACCGAGTCCTTGTCCTTGTCGAGAATGCACGCAAACCAGCGGTGGCCCTCGCACTCGGACGGGCCGCCCGTGCACTCAAAGCCAGCGTCCGTCTCGGTCATGCCTGCTGCCGGGTTCAAGCTACACACTATTTTACGCATCATACACGACGAGTCGCCTTACGAGAGGTCGGTGATCGCGCGGAATCTACAAGCAAGCCATAAGCATGCGGCGAACCATGGGCGACGCGTCGTACGCAGGGTCCGAGACGAGCTTGATGAGCGGATCGCCAATGTACCATTGGCAGGCGGGGCTAGAAAGGGTGTCGACGATCGACGATCGCAGCTGCAGACATACCAGTAGGCACGGAAGATGACGCTGATGGGCACGCGCTGGGCCTTGTCGAGGGCGGCGGCGGCGACGGCCGCCCACAGCGCCAGGATGAGACCGATTACGTGCATGTTGGCAACTGTCCTGCGAGGGGTTGATGGCGTCGCCCCATTCGTTGCGATTCATCCAATCAAACGTTTTTATTTTGATCTTTTCATCCAATCGAATGCGTTTCGAACGGCGGCGCCAGCTTTTTCATCCGGCTCGCCCAGAAGATCCAGTTAGTTAACATATCCATTGCAGTACATACTAGCATACTGTACCTTGTCCTAAGCTCTTATTCTCATATTGTCCATCCAGTGTATATTGGACAAGTTGTCTGCCAGACGCGTGGCGGCGCTATTGTCGAGAGAGTTGGTCGAGTGTGTGGCGTGGAAACGTCATCGCCAAGGGCTCATCCCTTCACACGCCGAGTGATAATAATGGCGCAGTGACGAGCCATGATAGGCTGCGCGACCTAATATGAAGCTCCCTTCTTGACTGAGAGCGAACTGCGGATCTTCGAGTAGGCTTAGTGGGCGGCGACACAGCACTGTCGGTCCGATGAGCCTTGCGACTCGAGTCAATGCTGCTACTTGAGACTTATTCTTCGTGTTTACGATGTCGATGTCAAAGATGGCTGCCAACGACGGTTGATAGCTCCATAGGCGCACTGTGTGAGCACTCATAACACTGTGCGATCTATTTTGGACGCGTGAAGTGTGCCCAGCATGGCCAAGAGCAAGCCAGCGCCCAAGCCAGCACCCAAGCCTGCGCCCAAGCCAGCACCCAAGCCTGCCTCTAATCCAGCCCCGAAACCTGCCGCTAATCCAGCCCCGAAACCTGCCTCTAATCCTGGCCCGAAACCTGCCTCGAACCCTGGCCCGAGGCCTGCGTCGGGACCGAATCCTGCACCGAGACCCGTGGCCAACCCCGGCCCCCGGCCCGCGCCCAATCGAGCCCCCGTCTCACGGAGCCCAGGATACGTCGCGTATGTGACGCCAAAGCCGCTCTGGGTCTCGAGGCCCCAGCCACTCGTCGTCGTCTTCAGCACGAACTCGTTTTGGTCCAAGCGGTCGTCCTGTGCGACGCGCTACTGCGACAACAGCTACGCGGCGTGCAAGGCGATCTACAGCTATGACGAGTGCACGTGCGTCCCCGACTTGCTCCAGTGCATCCAAGCCAAGTGCCAAAGTGAGTATTCGGCCGCCATTGCCGAGTGCCAAAGCGCGATACGCCGCGACACGCTCTGTCGCCTCTCGTGTACGCCTGCCGCGCCGGTCGACTGGACCGCCGAGTACGTCGTCACCAACTACAGCGTTGTCGTGGAGCTTCTCATTGAAGGCATGACATCGTCCTTATGGGAGAGCTACGGCGTCGACGTCGCTCAGCTCCTCGTCGATGCCCAAGTAAATGCAACGAGCAACGACACTCTCCTCGCTGTATGGCCCGTCACGATGACGACACCACCGTACGACGTCATGAATGGCTCGGCCGCTGCGCTGCAGATGACGGCCGAAGTAACCACAGACGATCCGGACGGCATGTTGGAAATGCAGTCGCTCTTTCGCAACGAGTCGACGACCACGTGGCTCGCATCGACCTTGTGGGACTATGGCGTCCTCGACGACCCAAATCAGTTGGCCATCACCAGTGTCCAGACACTCGTGGTGCCAATCAACAGCACCACATCGACGTCCAGTGCTGCTTCGACAGCGGCGCTCATTGGCGTTGCCGTCGGCGTTGTCCTCGGGCTCAGCCTTTTGGGGTTAGGGTACTATTGCTGCCGACGCCGCTACCGGTCGCCTGCCATTGCGTGCGTTGGCCAAAAAGGATAACGCGATACGAATATCACGAGTCGCTAACCAGTTATATTCTAGTAGTCGATATACTGCTCATGAAAACGCCTCACCTCGCTATCAACCAATCCTACACAAGGTCGATTAGCATTGATTGTCCTCCATGATTACCCGCAGGATGCCCGCGATCGGCTCCTCAGTTGCATATGCAGCTCGTACGTCGAGCAAGCGCGTAGCGACGTGAAGTCGAGCTATTAATTGGCCACCGCATTTGCGATGCTCGATAGTCCATCAGACAATATTGTCCACACGCAAAGTATATATGATGTAAATGCACTATAGTCGTTTACGCGTCGTGGGGTCCGAAAAACTCGTAGTGGACTTGCGACGCCGGAATGTGCCACTGCGATAGGACAATGTCGCGCACAGAGCGCATAAAGCCCGGCGGACCGCAAAAGTAGTAGTGCGCGTCCTTGGTGGGAATGATCTCGTCGAGGAGGTCGGCGCTGAGGCGGCCGTGGCGCTCGCCGTCGACCGGCGAGCCGTACACGCTCACAAACGACACATTGTCTGCCGTCCGCGCGCGGAGTTCGTCGCGAAGCGCCTCGACGGCCGGCGACCGCGCCGCGTGTACGAATAGGATTGTGTTGGGCACGTTCTTGTCGAGGAGGTCGTGGACCATGGCGGCCAAGGGCGTGATGCCGACGCCGCCGCTAAGGAGCACGATCGGCTTGTCACTGGCGTCCTGCAAGAAAAAGTCGCCGCAGGGCACCGACACTTGCAGCGTGTCGCCTTCGTGCACGTCGTCGTGGAGGTACGACGAGATTTTGCCCATCGGACACCCGGACGCGGCAGGTCCCTCGCGCTTGACCGTGATGCGGTACTCGTCCTTGCCTAGATACTA